CTGCTCCCCGAGTGTACCAGAAAATGCCATAATTTCTTCCTTAAGGCTGAATAATAGTCCATTGTGTATATATGCCACAGTTTCTTTATCCATACATCTGTTGAAGGGCACCTGGGTTTGTTCCATAGCTTAGTTTTTGTGAACTGAGCTGCTCTAAACATTGGTGTGGTTGTATCAATGTAGTAGGCTGATTTTAAGTCCTTTGGGTATAAACCAAGGTGTGGGATCGCTGTGTCAAATGGTGGTTCCATTCCAAGTTTTCTAAGGAATCTCCATACAGAGTTGTTGCATCAATTTGCAGTCCCACCAGCAATGTATTTAGTGAAACTTTTCCCTGCATCCTTGCCAATATTTGTTGTTATTTGTATTTTTCATAATTGCCTAACTAGAGTGAGATAAAATCTGAGTTAGTTTTAATTTACATTGCTCTAATTGCTAGGGATGTTGAACATTTTTTTTTACCAGTTTTTGAACAATAGTATTTCTTATTCTGTGAAGTACCTTTTCAGTTCCTTTTCCCATTTAATGATTGAGTTATTTGGGTGGGTTGTTTTCTGGATTGTTTTTGTTTTGTTCTGTTGGTGTTAAAGTTTTTTTGAGTTCTTTATATATACTGGAGAGTAATGCTCTGTCTGAGGTGCTGGTGGTAAAGATGTCCCCTTCTGTAGGCTATCTCTTTACACTCTTGTTTCCTATGTTGTGAAGAAGCTTTTTAGTCTGCTATCATCCCATGTATTGATTCTTGGTTTTACTTCTTACACTCCAGGAGTCTCTTGACTCCTAAAGCCAAGATGATAGAGAGTTGGGCCAACTTTTTCTTCTAGTTATGGCAGGGTCTCTGGTCCATTGCTTAGGTCCTTGGTCCACTTTCAGTTGAGTTTTTGCACAAGCCTTTTGGTGCTCACATCATACCACCCTGTGACATAGATGTTGAATATGGACCTACAGGAATTGATGTTGACCCTGGGAGGATCTGGTCTTGCTTTGAACTATTCCTCTTTGTCATTTTCCTACTCCTTCCTTTGGTAATGGGGACATTTATCCTGTGTGTGTGTCTTGGGAATGTGCAACTGTTGGTTTGATTTTTTACAGTGGCTCACATCAAATATTTATCCTGAGTCTTGAGAGAAGACTCTGAACTTAGATGTTTGAGCCATATTGGAACTATTGACTACAGGAACTCTTGGAGATTAACAAATGCAATTCACATTGTTTCACAGACAACAGTTCTGGGAACTGTGGGCAGAATATTATGTTTTGGATCTTACATGTCCTCATTAAGCCCATGTGTTAAAGACTTGGTCCCCAATGCAGGAGAGCTCAGAGATTAGGCCTTGAGCAGAAGACAGGATCATAAAGGCCTCTAAAATGATTCGGGAATTAAAGAATGACCTAAGTGAGCAGATACAGGCAAAAACGGATCACTCCAACAAAGAGATGAGAGCAAATACAAGTTGCAGGAAAAAAGAGAAATAATTGAAGTGAAAGAAACAATAAAAAAATATGAGGCATGTAAGATGACTAGCACACAAAAGCTATTTTACGGGTTTGAATTAGAAAAGGACAAACTATTTATTTAGGATATAGTGTCACAACTATATTTCATTCTATCTGCTGGATATTTTTTAACATCTGCTAGATATTTATATTTTATATAAAATATGACTCTTGGAATAATTTAGATAATATGTCAGTTAACAAGAAATTTTGGTATGTTATGTTTTTAGTTGTATGAAGCCCAAGTTACAGGCTTGGTACCTCTGATGCCTCTAAACACACACAGTCTTAGAAGTGGTCATAAGCTCAATTGGTCATAAGATCAATTGTCAGTGAACTTTTGCTGATTATTTTACCTTCCCTACAAAATGATCTGATTTTGACCAAGTCTTTTAGAACTTGAGGCTTTTACATGCTAACTTTCACTCATGCTATTTATACATCCATGTATTTTAGTCTTATATAATCTGAGTGCGGATGTGTATTGTGTGTGTATATTTTAAAAAAGATTTTTTTGGAAACCTGAGGAAATTTGAATACAAAGCACTGCATACTAGGTGATATTTATTAATTCTCATAGGTATGATAACACATTATGGTTTTATTATGTAATTTCTTTATTTTTAAAAGACATGCTATAGTATTCAGGCTTGACATATTGAGATGCCTGCAATTTATTTTCAAATGGTTAATAAAAAAGAGATTAATTTATAGAGCAAATATGGCAAAATGTAAGTAACTAGTGAATCCAGAAGGTAGATATCTGAGTGTTGATTGACAATTCTGCCAACTTTTATGTACATTTGAAAATGTTCATAATTCGAGCTTGGTTAAAAAAAGAAATTACCAGAAAAAAAAATCAGAAATGAAAACATGAATATTTAGACCAATTAAAGTGACTGGTGTCGTGTTTGTGTATCAGTATATTGGTACAAATGTGCAAAGGAATCTCTTTCTCTCAGGTTTACAGGGCTGTTTTTTCACAGCCATATTTGAGGCACTCAAATAAATGTCACTATTTTCTGATTCATTTGGAGGTTGAGAGAGGAAAGGTTTAATTCGACAGTCAAAATAATGCCTAAAGGCATTCACAGTCATTTGACATTTGAAAAGATGGAAGTTAAAAACTTATAACCAGATGTCAACCAAAAAAAAATAGGTAATTTAATTTTTAATATAAGACATTTCTGGAAATAAATTACTTTGTTCAAAATAATTTGAATGAGCAGAATACATCAGACACTAGAAAAGCAATATGTCAATCAATGGAAGGGTAACTGATGTGATACAGCAATCTGTATACGGGGTAAAGTTGGGAGTTCATAACCCACTTGAATCAAACTGTGAAAGATGATGTATTAAGAACTGTGTAAGGTTTTGAACGACCAACAATAAAAAAAAATAATAATTTGAATGTTATTTCCCATTTTTAAGTAATACATCTGTTTTCATCTGATTCTGTCTGCCTGACCAGGTTTTCTTGATGATAAAAATCATTCCTGGCTTTTGATTACTAAGGTCTGATCAACTCTTCAAGCATAAATGCCACAAAATTAATGAAAGTCACGTTTTCTTCCAGGATGATTCTCAGCTGTATACATTGAATAGCAACAAAAAAGGGCCATTTTTACATCATGTACAACCAGAAGAATGAGAAGCTATACTCCATTTACATATGAAGTGTCAAAATGCATTCTACTGTTATGTACAACTAATTAGAGCAAATAAAAATTTAAAAACCCATAAAAAAGAAGGGCCATTTTGATGAATGTAAACTTAAAAATATTTAGCACATAAAAATTCTAATTTTGGTACATATTCATTTGCTGTATTTTAAACTTAATAAACATACATCAAGATACAAATGCTAAACATTTGATCTTTCTGTGTGTGTGGTACTGGGGATTGAGCCCAGAACCTTACACATGCTGGGCAAGTGCTCTGCCACTGAGCTACATCTCTGGCCTTCTTAAATTTTTCCTTTGAGACAAGGTCTAGATTGCCCAGGCTGGCCTCAAACTTGCAACGCTACTGCCTCAGCCTCCCAGATAGTTGGGATTACATACAGGAACCACAATGCCCAGCTAACACTTTATCTTTTTTTAGGTGGTGCTGGGGATTGAAGCCAGGGCCTTGTGCATCCTAGGCAAGCACTCTACCAACTGAGCTATATCCCCAGGCCCCTTAACATTTTATCACTTATTGTGCATTTCAGAATGTCAATTTTTAATTTAAAGTTTCCCAAAATATTTTGGAGAAAAGTGTGAGGTTTA